GGACTTGGAGGGCAGGGAGGGCAGGCCCGGGGGATGGGCGTGGGGAGCGGCCGGAGTGGGGGGGAAGGAGAGAGAGATGGAGAGAGACAGGTGAGGGGAGAAAGAGCAGAGAGGGAGAGGGGAAGAGACGTGAGAGGCGGAGAGAAGAGAGACCAAGAAAGAGACTCAGACAGGAGGTGGACAGAGAGGGAAGAGGGAGAGAGAAAGAACAAGAAACAGAAATGGTCACAGGGTATGTGTTGGGGGAGGGGGAGGGGGAGGGAGAAGCGTGCACTTGGCTAAGGCTGTGCCCCACCTCGAGCTCCACTCCCCCGCAGGGAGGTCCCTGGGCCTGGGGCTCCTGGGCAGAACTGAGTGACCTGGAGACATGGCTCCATGAGCATCTGAAGAAAACAGACCGAGTTGCACTTCCTAACACCACAGATGAACGACTTGGCTGCCCGGAGCCTCAGCTTCCCCATCTGTGAAACAAGAAGCCTGAGTTGGCTCAGCAGGGGAATTCTGTATCCTTTGTTCAGTTTTTATATTTTTAGGTGATATATTTGCCAACGCTTAAAAATTGGGAGACTTGACCGAACGCAGTGGCGTACATGGTAATCCCAGCTGCTTTGCAGGCTGAGGCAGGAAGATTGCAAGACTGAGGCCAGCCTGAACAAATGAGCAGGACTCAATCTCAAAACTTAAACAAACAGCCAGGTGGGGTGGTGCACACCTGTGATCCTCAGGAGACTGAGGCAGGGGGATCTCCTCAAGTTCAAGGCCAGCTTGGGCTACAAAGCAAGACCCTGCATCTCACCCCCCCAAAAAAAAAACCTTAAACAAACACATGGAGCTGGGATTGTAGAGCAAGAGGTCCTACTGGGTTCAATTCCCAGTACCAATAAAATAAAATATAACATAAAATTGAGAGACTTCACAGAACTATTTAATTTCTGGCTTTTTTTTTTTTTTTTTTTTTTAAGTAGGAATGCCTGCCCATGCTGGGGCTGCATTTCCGTGACAGCCATTTGTTGGAAATGACCAGTGGCCACGCTGTGTTGGCAGAACACGAGGTCTTTCAAACTCTACCCAGGACCTCCACAATCTTTTGGGCTCTAGTAATCTCGTAAACCACGGTTGTAGACCTCACCACTAAGTCCCCACAGCACTGGGCACTCAGGATAAGAGTTCGTGAGTAAATGCAGTCAGAGCAGATGAGACAGCCGTCCCCCCAGATGCAGGAGGCACCCGATCAATATTTAATACACGAAGAAGAGCTGAAGTGGTTAGAAGACTGCCCTGGGCGTCACGACGGGGCTGGAGACACGGGTAGCAGCTATTTGAGACGGTGGCCTTGCCCACTGGGAGAAGCCTAGGACTCCGATAGGATGCCATTGGTGAGGCAGGAGAGTGGGGACGTCTCAGCACCCTCCTCACACCCTCGGGGGCACATTGTACCATCTGTGGGTCGGTCGTTTACTTGTACATGTTTGGCCTCTCTTTGCAGGATAAACATTATGTCTGGAGCAGGAAGTGCTGTAGCCACAGTACCTGGCACGTGGTGAAGTGCTCAGAAACTTCTTGATGAATAAATGGAGGAGTCCATCTCCTTTTCTAACTTTTGCTCCTTACGCCGACTTTTGCTGTGTTTTAAGGTAATCTGAGCACAGACCTCGGTGTCTCACTAAATTCAGGCAGCTGGCCTTGCGTGAGGGGCTTTCCCTTACAGGGTCTCGTAACAGACAGGTAAAAAGCATTTAATGCCTCTGAGCTTCATTGTCCTCACCTTCGAAGTGGGACTCATACTTTCATCATAGGAAGGCTCAGAAATGGGTCTACAACAATGCCTGGAACATAGGAGGTGCTCAATGAATGGACACCATCTTTGCAGATACCATTGGTAATAGGAAGACCCAACAGAAGAGGCAATCGTGGGAGACAGAGAGAAAGGGAAGGGATTGGAATCCTTTAAGCCACATTTCCCTTGAGCTAATTTTCCCATCTTGATTTTCAGAGTTTGAAGTTTGTTGCTGAAGGGGATGGTGGATTCATATATGTAGGAAGTAACCAGTAGTGGCCTCTTCACTCTCCCAGCTCCCTTTGCACTGGTAGCGCCTGCCTAGATCCCTGTGAAGAAAGATGTTTCACCATGTCTGGATGCAGTGAGCACAAATGCTGCAATTGATTAGTGATGTCTGCTGTGGGCAGGGCTGCATTCACTCATATGCCATCCCCAGGTGGGACATTTCCAGGCCCAGGGGACAGAACGACCCTCCTTTTGGGTCCTACCCATGATGAGGCAGGGTGCAGGTGCCTGAGCAGTGACCCCCAGGAAAGCCCAGGAGAGAGGCTGAGTCAGACGCGATAGTTTGCTTGTTTATGCTGTGCTGATGAATCATGCCAGAGGGCCCCTCAGGCTGGGACTGCCACCAACAGAGAGACCCCTGGGGGCCAGGACATTTGGGCAGCGGCTGGAGTCAGTTTCCTGTGTCTGCCCTATGACATCAGCACCCCTTGCGGGTGGAAACAACCCACATGGAACATCTCCCCATTCTGGGAGCCAGAAGCCTGCCACAGTCCCACTGAGCTGAAATCAAGAGCTGCCTTTACCGCAGCCTAGAGACTCACGTCTGGCCCTTTCCAGCTTCCAAAGCCACCACATGCCCTGCGTCACAGTCTTTCCTCCGTCACCAAGACAGCCAAGCTGGGCTGAGTTCTCCCCTGGCCACCTCGGGAGTCCCGTCTTCCGCCCCCACTACCATCCGTGAGAACGCTTGTGACTGTACCGGGGTCTCCTGGAGAAGCCAGGCTCTCCCCTCCACTCACGGGTTTCCCAACCAGCAGCCTGAACCCCACATGCAGCCTTAACAGCCACACTCACTTTTGGTTTCCCTCCCCCATCTCCAGAACTGGGGGCCGAACATCCTGGCCCTTGCACATCCTAGGCAAGCCTGCCGCTGAGCCACACCCTCAGTTCATGCTTAAAAACAATTCCCCTTTGTCCTCTGAATTCCCCTTTGCCGGGTGACCTAACACGTCCGAACTCCCAAGGGTCAGGCCTCAGACAGGGGCTCTCACTCCACCTGCCCCTCACCGATCAGTGGCTGCTACTGCTCCCTCCTGGTGTCCAGGAGACAATTCTGGAAACATCCTCTTCGTTCCTCAGTGGAGCCCAGAGACAGGGAGTCCTCACTATCATAGCAACAGCCTCACAGATGAGCCTGTACACTAACAGAGACTACTGTCATGAAAGTTATCTGCACCGAGTCAACCTCAGCTTTCAGGGTGACCCAAACTATGACAGTGTTCAGTGGATGTTAGCCGTTACGCGGGTGGGGCCGAGTGTGACAGCCACCTGACGCAAAGTGGCTGAGGCAAAACCTACTCATTTTCTCCTCGAGGACTTCAGGCACAGCTGGATCCAGGTCCTCAAGCAATGTCATTGAAGATCTTCCTCCTTTGAAGTCCCAGCTGTGTTTCCTCTGCACTATCTTCATCCTTGGGGAGTTTATCCTCAGACATTGGCAAAGATGGTCCCCAGCTACTGGAAGCAGCAACTACAATGACAGCAGCCTTCACCCACGTTATCTTTGGTCCTTGGCTCTGATTGGCTCTTCTTGGGTCATGTGCATATGCCCGAACCAATCCCCATAGAGAGAGGGGATGTAGGAATCTCATTGGCCTGCCCTGGGTCACTTCCTATCCCAGGCGCTGGGGGTGGGAGGAGCAAATGGAGGACATAGGATCCAGAGAGAGTGAGCTGCGGTTCTCCTAAAGAAAATTGGGGGCGCTTTTAACATGAGAAAGAGTGAAGGAAAAAGGCACGGAGCTCCTCTATAAGTCAGATCATCACGTCCCGTTAATTTTAGGTAAATGTCTCCCAAGGATGGGAGACAAGATGGTGCCCAGCAGGTGGGGGTCTGGAGCTGGGAGGAAGGGAAGCCAGGCGTGGTGCCAGTCAGCACTGCCAGCCCATCCTGGCTGGAGGGAATTCTCAGGATCAGAAATCTGCAGTCTGAGAACTTGTCTGAATTTTTGCAATTGCTGTTTTCTTTGCCACAAAGCTGAGGGAAAGCCAAAAGGAAATAAAGTTCCTTTCAAAAATGCCAGCTCGTCTCCACCATATAAAATAGCCCATGAAGAGAGAAAGCACCTTTTGTTGAGGCTTGAGGAGAAAGAAGTGAGGGGCTGGCCCCCCTTCTCAGGAAAGAGGCAAACCCAAATGGGGGAGGCCCTTATGCAGGAGCTGAGCCAGGGGAGGGGAGTGGTGAGGATTTGGGGGCCACACAGACCTGTGAGTCCCAGACCTGCCACCTTCCAGTGGTGCCGCTTGGGTTGGGTGCGTCTTAGAAGGGCTCAGAGCCTCGGTGTCCTCTCTGTGAATAGGGGAGATAAAAGTCCTTCTAAGTGTGCCTTCTGTGAAGATGCCTGATATGCTTTGTGTGGGGTGAGAACTCCAGAGTGATTAGCTCTTATTATTAGGGTGGCTGCTTCTTACTGACTCCTAGGTCCTCACTCACAAGGGAAATGCATTCTCGGCCTGCTGTTTATCACAGGGCAGGCGGTGTAGGGGCCCAGGGACCTGTACGCCGTATGAGTCTCCTCTTACTGCTGTAACAAGTGACCACAAATTCGGCGGCTGAAAACGGCCCACGTTTATTCTGTGACAGTTCCTGAGGTCAGAACTCCTCCTGCAGTCTGGTTCCCATAGGGGCCCCTGGGAAGAATCTATTTTCTCATCTCTTCCAGCTGCTAGAGGCGCCCACACTCCTGGGCTCAAACTTAATGATCTTTCTGCCCCAGCCTCTCAGAGTGCTGAGAAGGTGTCAGAAGATGGAAGACCTACTCCAGCTCAGGCTCAGAACTGGGACTGCACAACTTCCCCTGTATCTGTGGAGCAAAGCAAGTCCCAAAACCAGGCTAGTTTCATTCGGTGGGAAAATAGACTGTGCCCCTTGAAGGGCGGCATTGCATCGTGGGTGACTGGCACAGAGACCTCCTATGTGCTGGGCGCTGAGCTGGGGGCTTTAGTTCATCGTCTCATTTAACTCCTTGTGGTGTCCTTTGAGGTAAGCACTTTCTGGATCCCCGACTTATAGATGAAGATATTGATGCTCAGAGAGGTCCAGTCACTTGCCCATGGTCACACAGCTCAGGAGTGGCAGAGCTGGGTCTTAGCCCCAGTGCCATGAACTGTGACACTGTGCACTGTGAGGAGAACTGGGCCGCTACAGATGCTGTGTCACTTGATACCATTGCCCAAACCCAATTCGCAGGCCCTGACGCCAACCCTGGCCCAGGGTCCATCTCCTTAGGGACCGAGAGAGCAGGGAATCTGTCTCGAGGAGTTGGGAGCTTTCCCTTCCCCTCCCAGGAAACTGGGAAATGGGCTCATCACGTATCCCTCCCTTCCTGCTATGGAGGAAGGACCGGACCGCTCCCCTCAGGAGGAGGGACCCAGGGTGGCCCGGCGTGATTGATTCTTCCCCAAAGGGGCCACGCATCCAGATTTTGCATGAAGGTAAACTCTCCTGAGGGCCAGACATGGCAGCAGGCTCAGATTAGACGGAAAAGGGGAAGGTGAGATTGACGAGTCTGCGCCTCTGCTCTCGTTCAACCCTTCATGGCACAGAGGGCAAACTGAGGCCAAGAGAGGGGCAGCTCAGGTCACTGAGCGAGCAGGAGGGAACAGGGCTTGTGGGAGGAACAGGCACTGCAGCCCCACTTCTACCCCATCCGGGTCCCTGAGACCCTCTTCCCTCCCCTCCACCACGGTGATGAAATGCTGGAGATGGGGGCGGGGCGGTGGGCTGTGAAGCCCAAGATGAAGGTACTGGCAGACTTGGTCTAGTGCAGGTACTTCCTGGTCCATAAAGAGTGTCTTCCGGCAGGCTGTGTCCTCCACAATGGGAGCGACAGGTAGCCCCTTAGGGGGGGGGTCTCTCTCTCTCTTTTTTAGTAATAAGTATCGAACTCGGGCCCTTGCGCTCTTTGGGGTCTCTTTTATGAGGGCACTGGCCTCGTTCAAGACAGCTCTGCCCTCACGACGTCACACCCAAGGCCCCGCCTCCGGAAGCCTTGGTATGGGGGCGGGGCGCCAACATTTACATGGGGTGAGGCTCAAACGTTCAGATGGTGTGGGTGGGATTGGAGGAGAAAAGGGCCAGGGCCAGCTTAGGGAATTCTGTTCTCCTTTTGGGGACCCTACCTGGTAACTAAATGACGTTTCTCTAATCACTCTTGGAGGCTGAGGCAGGAGGATCACAAGTTTGAGCCCAGTTTATGCAACTTAGTGACTCAGTGAAACCCTGTCTCAAAACAAAACAAAAAAATAAGTAAAATAACAAAGGGCTGGCAGTATAGTTCAGTGTGAAGACCCTGGGTTCAATCCCCAGTACTAATGAGAGAGTGGGGAGTGGAGAGAGGGAGCAGGA